TGAGCTATTTAATTTATATAAAAATAATACTAGCAATTTCGAAATGATTTACGGTATTTTTTTAGTACCCTACTGTATAGTAGCACAATTGATACGAATGCACTTTAGTTCATTGTTGATGATGTTAAGATCTACTACTGGATTTTTTAGGATATAATGGTTAAAGTATTAGGATTAAATTCACACTAAAAATGGATGATTCAAAATGAACTTATTGTTTAAATAGAGGGACCAACTGATAATTTAATCACAAAAAGAAATGAAAAATGTCACGGACTGGTTTGGCTCTTCTGAATATCCGTGCTTTCGTTTGTAATTTTTAATTTTTTATTATTTTATTTTTTAAGGATGGATATATCATCAAATAAAGAGGTAAGAATAGATTCACTTTAAAAAAAAAAAGAATAAATTTATTTAATTATTAATAAAAATAAATTATTTATTATTTAACATATAATTGTAATACCTCAAAATTTTGTGTTATTTTAGCATTTAAGTAAGAGTTTTTGTGTGAGAAAATATTATTTTGAGCTTAATAGCCAAAAATTTAAAAGTTGAGGGACTTAAAAAGGGAAAAGATTTGGGATAAGGATCAACTTCCTTCTTTTTCCTTTTTCTTTCTTTCTTTTCTTCCCAGCCTTGCCCGATTCTGCTCTTCTTCTTCTTTCTTCCCGCTGCAGCCGAACAAAGCCCCCAAGCAAGCCGACAGCCCTCCTCTTGAGAAACCGATGAGATAAGCTTGGTTTTGGCCTTCTTTTCTTGTTCAAGAACCTGATTTGGAACCCAGAAATTCTCCCCCCTGCTGGAAAATCCGGATCTGCCTTGCTCTGTCCGCCGGCTGCTCTTGTTGTGGGGGGGCCGAATTTCTCTGATTTTGGGTAAGAAATAGCCATGAATCTCCCTTCTCTAGCTTGAATTGCCTTGGGTTTACCTTAATTTCCTCTTGGTTCTCCAATTTTTGGGTAGATTGCGTGATTCTTCCCTGCACTTGCCGCCGGCCTCTTACCCAAATTGCAGCTCCGGCCTTGCTTGCTGGATTCTGGTATGTGGCAGCCTTTTAAGGCTTAAATTTTCCATTGAGTTTGCTGCCTTGTGTGTCCGAATTTTGCCATAAAGTTGGGGAGGAATTCCGGTAGTTTTAGACCATGATTTAGCTTAATTCAAGTGGGTTTTTGTTTAATTTAAGTGTAAATTGCTTGAGTTGATTGTTGTGATTTTTGGAGAGAAAATCCCGTGAGATTAGCTAGTGTTTTGGCCAATTTTGGAAGTGGAGTTACTGTTCACGGCACTGTTCACACACCGAGGGCCAACAATTAATGGGGATTTAAATGATTAGTTTGTGATATAAGAACGAATTTGGAGATATCTGATAATGTGGAAATTGATAGAAATAGCATTGTGATTAGGAATGATCCTAATGATGATTTCAGTGTGAATTCGTGATAGTACGGTATTAATTCTCAGATATTTTGATTAGGTTTTTGATCGTTCTGTCAATTTAGCACTGAAATTGAGTGCTCAATTTTATGCAATTCGAGGTAAGTAAATTTATGGTAATGCCCATATGGTTTTAAAAGCATGTTTTGATTTGTTTTTGAAGTGGTGGTGGGACTAAACTCGTTTTACACAAGCATGACTGATTTGAAGTGGAATTTTTATGCTTTTCATTAAATTGAGCATGCCTACTTGAAATTTAATTGATTGTCCTGATGATTTGAAAGTGATTGGTGAATTATGATTTTTGTGTTAACTTCTGCCTGTTTTGTCTCCGATGTGGTCATGTTATTAGTGACCCTGCTAGTGGGGGAGTTTATAAACGCTAGCACATGTCGACATGTATTTCTGTAGAGCCGGTTCCTCTTGCCAGTGGGAGTTGTTAAACACTGGTATTTCAGTGGCCCTGCTAGTGGGGATTATACACCAGCAAATAGTGTGCTTGCCAGTGGGAGGTTTATAACACTGGCCGTGGCCTATAGAGGAGACGTCTATTTCGTTCCCGTACTGTATCCATTTTGCGTGATTGCACATGTGGCATGCTATAAGTTTAATTAAGGGCACTCCATATTTACTTACTGAGTGTATCTCATAGTTTTTTCTTGTCCACCATTTCAGGAAGCGAAACCGAGGACGGGGAAACCATGGGAAATGACGAGTTAGAAAGCTAACCATTTCGGGATTGATATAGATTTTAGAAACAAATCATGATATTGTAAACTAGAGTGTATTTGGAGATTTTATGATATTAGAGTAAATTTTAAGATTTTGATGGTATCAGAGTATGATTTGATAAGTTCCGAGCCTTGTGCATTTGTGGGACTTGTCTCACGAGTGCACGGCGTCTGTCGCGCCTCGAAATCGGGTTTTGGGGCGTGACAATAATATTATCACAAGTTAAAAATTTATTTGTTATTTAAGTATTTTTTAATAGAAAACTAGTATAATAACATCACATATTAAATAATAAATGATTTATTTTAATAAATTATTCAAAATAATAATTTATTT